TGATAGATCCTCTATAATTTGTACATCTTTGATAGGGACGACCCGAAAAAGGTCTCCAATACATTTCCTCAACATAGATACATGGAATACCGGGTGGACAAATTCCAATTTGAATGGCAATTTTAACTCATAAGCAACCTGTCCAATTTGTCGAAGAATTTTGTACAGCTTGATATACCGCGGACTTAGCTTACCCTTCTTCCCAAAATGCATAACACCCTTCATTGGTAAGATCCTCGAGAAAACCCAGTCACCAACCTCAAATTCCAGATTACGACGTCAGACATCGGAATAAGACTTTTGCCTGCTTTGTGCCATCCTCAGTCGCTCTTGTATCACTTTCACCTTCTCAATGGCTTGGTGAATCAAATCTGGCCCATATAATTCTGTTTCACCGATTTTGAACCATCCAACTGGTGATCTACATCTCCTCCATTATAGTGACTCGTACAGGGCCATTTTAATACTGGAATGGTAGTCATTATTGTAGGCGAATTCTATGAGTGGAAGATGATCATCCCAATTCCCCTTGAAATCTAGAACACATTCTCGTAGCATATCTTTAAGTGTTTGAATAGTACATTTAGCCTATCCATCAGTCTACGGATGGAATACAGTGCTAAGATTCACTTGTGTGCCTAAACCCTTCTGAAAAGACCTCAAAAAGTTAACCATAAATTAAGCTCATCGGTTTGATATAATAGATATCGGTACACCATGAATCCTAACAATCTCCTTGATATACAACTTCGCATAATCTTCAGCCGTGTAAGTTGTCTTAACTGGCAGAAAATGGGCAGATTTTATAAGTCAATCAACTATAACCCAGATGGAGTCAAACTTATGATAAGAGCGAGGTAATACAATAATAAAGTCCATATTAATCACCTCCTATTTCCAGGTCGGAATCTCTATATTCTGAATCAATCTATCGGGTTTCTGATGCTCGATCTTCACTTGTTGACAATTAGGACACTAGGCTACAAATTCTGCAATAGACTTCTTCATGTTATCCCAACAATACTGCTCTTTAACGTCATGATACATCTTTGTCGAGCTGAGATGGATAGAATATCGGAACTGATGAATCTCAATCATAATCTTCTCTTGCAACCCTGCCATAGTAGGAACACATAATCGGCCCTGGTATCTCAGTGCCCCATCTCCTTTGATCTCGAAGCTATAATCTTACACTACTGAATGCCCTCGCTCAATCTTACTAAGGTAGGATATTCATATTGATGTGTATTTACCTCGGCTACCAAAGATGATTCTGTTGTATATTGTAGAGTAGCAACTCCGTCATTAGAGTCTAACAATCAGATTCTCATATTGGCCAGATGGTGAAGCTCTTTAGTCAACCCTTGTCTACCTGCCTTAATGTGTACTAAGCTTCCCATTGACTTACGGCGGATAATGTCTGCCACAACATTGGCTTTACCGGAATGGTTCAATATCTCGACGTCGTAGTCTTTTAGCAATTCAAGCCACCTACACTGCCTCAAATTCAACTCCTTCTACTTGAAGATGTATTGTAAACTTTTGTGATCTGTGTAGATGTCAACATGGATGCCATATAAGTAGTTCCACTATATCTTCAAAGCTTATATTACTGTAGTCAATTCCAAATCATGAGTCAGGTAATTCTTTTCACGTTTTTTCAATTGTCTCAATGCATAAGCAATCACCTTCCCATGTTGCATCAATACGCACCCCAAACCTATACCTGAGGCATCACAATATACCACATAACCTTATGTTCCTTCTGGGAGAGTGAGCACTGGTTCAGATGTCAATCTATTCTATAGCTCCTGAAAACTACAATCACAAGCGTCAAACCATTGAAACTTGGTAGCTTTCTGTGTTAACTTAGTCAATGGTGGTGATATAGAGGAAAACCCTTCTACAAACCACTTATAGTATCATGTTATCCCCATCAAGTTGCGGACTTCTAATGGTGTCGTAGGTCTCGGCCAATTCTTTGTTGCATCAATCTTATGAGTGTCGACACTAATACCCTCGTTAGATATCACATGGCCAAGGAATGCTACTGAGTTCAGACAGAATTCACATTTGGAGAGCTTAGCATATATCTTATGATCCTGAAGGGTCTGTAATACTATTCGCAAGTGGCCCCTATGTTCCACCTTTGAACGAGAATACACTAGAATGTCATCAATGAATACGATAATGAATATGTCAAGATAAGGCCTAACACTATTCATGAGATCCATAATAGCTGCTGGGGAATTTGTTAGCCCGAACGACATTACCAAGAACTCAAAGTGCCTATATCTTATTTGGAAGGCCGTCTTTGGAATATCCTTCTCCTTAACCCTCACCTGATGATACCCTGAACATAAATCAATCTTGGAAAAATACTTGGCACCCTGGAGTTGGTCAAATAGGTCGTCAATCCTTGGAAGTGGATACTTGTTCTTTATAGTAAATTTATTCAACTATCGATAATCAATACACATCCTAAACGACCCATCTTTCTTCTACACGAACAAGAAAGGCGCACCCCAAGGTGAAGTGCTAGGCCTAATGAAGCCTTTATCCGGCAAGTCCTTCAACTGCACCTTTAACTCTCACAACTCTGTAGGGGCCATTCTGTATGGAGGGATAGAGATCGGTTGAATGACAGGCAACACATCAATGCTAAACTCAATCTCCCTTTCAGGAGGAAGCCTTAGGATTTCATCTAGGAAAACATCTGGAAATTCATTTACCACGTGGATTAATTGTAGAGTAGGCGGTTTCGCCTCCATAACCCTAACATGAACGAGATGATAAATGTAACCTTTTGAGATCATCTTTCTTGCCTTAAGATAGGAAATAAACCTACATTTTGGCGTAGCAATGTTCCCCTCCCCTTCATTGATGGGTTCACCAGGAAACTGAAACCTATCCATCTTCATATGACAATCAACATTTGCATAGCATGAGACCAACCAGTCCATTCCCATTATCACATCAAAATCAACCATTTCTAACTCAAATAAATTTGCCGAGGTTTGACGACTACAAATCATCACAGTGAAACCTCTATATACCCTTCTAAAAATCACAGAATCTCTTATCGGAGTAGATACCGCAAGTGTTTTACTTATCAATTCAAGTTCAACGCCAAACTTATTAGCCACAAAGGGTGTAACATATGATAATGTAGATCCCGAATCAATCAACGCATATAAATTGTTAGAGAACATAGACAATATACGTATAATAACATTCGAAGATGACTCGAGATCCTGTCGACCTACTAGAGCATTGGTTTGATTTTGAGCACCACTCGAACTCAGCAATGCACCTCTACCTTTACCACGACCTCTCGACTACTAAAAATACTATGGTGGAGGTCGAACTGATGAAGAAGAACCAAACACAGATCCAGTTGGCTGAGCCATACCACCACCTCCTCTGTTAGGACAATCCCGCATCATATGGCCAGGCTGTCCGCAAGAATAGCACGCATCAGAACCTCGGCGGCACAGTCCAAAATGGGCCTTGCCGCACTGATCATAACGGGGTATTGGGGGTCTCGTCTAACTAGTATCCCTATGATATTGTAAGTCTGATGCTCACGAACTCTGACCTAGACTAGAATAGGTAAATCGATCATACCGAGGCCTTTAAAACTGTGAAGGATCACTAGCTACAGGTGGTGACGAACTCCTCTAATACAGGGGCCCGATACTACCTCTGAAGTCATCGTAACACCCTGCAAATCTCGCCCTCTTATGCTGGCCCCTATCCTGCTCCCTATCTGCCCTTTGCTGGAACTTACGATCCTCTAGGGTCTGGGCATAAACCTAAATACAGGAAATATCCATGCCCTCCACCAAGGAGGCTGTCGTGCACTCATTTATCAGATGTGGTCCCAACCTGTTCACGAACAGATGCACCCTATCACTCATCTCGGTCACCATATGGGGAGCATATCTTGCTAAGGAATCAAAATGCATACTATACTCTCGCACACTCATGTTACCTTGTCGAATGTTCAAGAACTTATCAGCTCTAGCTCATCGTATCTCAACTGGAAAGTAGTGACGAAGAAAGGCCTCAGAAAACTCCTTCCACACAGCTGGAGGAGCGTTCAGACCCCTGGATCTCCCCCAACTATCATACCAGAAAATCGCTAAATCCTGTAGCCGATAAGAAGCCAACTCTACTTCCTCCGTATCACTAACATGTGTAACCCGTAGTGTACAATGAACCTAGTCAATAAAAGTTTGTAAGTCCTCCTTGGGGTCTGATCCGGTAAATACTGGAGGGTCTAGATTAATAAAATCACGAAATGTCACACTAACTGGTTTATCAGCAGCACTAGTATTCTGTCTCTGAGCTTGAGCAGCTACCAAGCTAGTCAACAACTGCATCGCACTCTGCATATCCTGGTCTGTAGTGCCAGACAGAGGAACTAGAGGTGTTGGGTGCCGCCTAATATCCTCTAGAGGAGACAGAGTAGATGAGGTATGAGACGGCATCTCACTCTGAACCTAACTTTGGCCTGCTCTGGCTGGAGGCACCTGACTGGTACCCTCTCCCACAATTGTATCAATCCATCTACTAATCTCTTACTTCCTAGTCAAAGGCATCGCTAAAAGAAAACAAGGTGAATATTAGAGACAATCACTTACGACTCAACTTTACGCACGATCTGGATTCAGGAAGAAGGTAACAACCCTAGATGTTATGTTGCCTCCTGATTATAAATGTGGTGCACTACACATATATAATCAAGACTCTACTAGAAACGGCTCATAGACAACCCCTAGGACAGACTTGGTCTAATACCAAGTTTGTCACGACCCAAGTTGGAGGGCCATGACTGGCACCCGAGCCATACCTGCCGAGCACCAACACACATTTTATCTAACCTTTCTTATTATCTATAAGGGCTGATGTGATCAATATAAATGATAGGCATGAATCCTAAACAACCAACAATGACAAATAATGGCGTGAACATATATAACATGGGCCGACAAGGCTGTTATGAAGCTATATATTAGGTACGAGCTGACAAGCTGCCATGAGAGACTATACAACAAAAATCAGTCGACAAGGCAATCCAAACTATACATAAGTCGGCACCTGTCAATGAGCCTCTAAAGGAACATAAGTGCTGCAACATTGCCGGAACAGGGCCCCGACATACCCATAATGTCTATAATAAAAATGCATACCAAGACCACGGCAAGTCCTGAGAAGGGATCTTGCCAATAACTGATGAACTGAGCAGCCTACTATCGTGGGGGAGCTGCGTCTACCTGCCTATCAGGACCTGCAGCATTCACAAATAAAAAGGACTTCAGTACGAATGAAGTACTGAGTATTTAAGGCAGGAAAGCTTAAGTAAGAACAGTAATGTGAATAGGGATAGAGAATATACAACCTGTAACATCTGGCTACCTCAAAGGGCTACTGACATGAAATTCATGATATATATACACACACATAAACTTTTAAAACATACGCCTCTATAGGAATCATCACATTGTACGCGGTCGTAATGGGCTCGGTAAAAACGTACCCGGCCATTATAAGGCTCGGTAGAATCGTACTCGGCCACGTGGAGCTCGATAAAACCCAACTGATTGATGCTTGCAAAATAGGTGTCGTACCCGGTCAACTATAGCTTGGGTCGGTAGAGTTAAATAGATACATATATATATAATACATGTTGGACTCATTGGAATCACATTATGAACCTTTCGGAGTGACATAAGGTCGGTATCCTTTGTACACATTATTAGGACTAACTCTCCTTCATGAATCTTATAAGATTAGTAAGTACCAACAACATTGATAACATAAGAATAAGAGAAGCAACCTCAACATCAATTGTTCCATAAGAAGGGAAACAAGGTAAGTACTGGTAGCTTCTAAGAGTAGAGTATCTTTGGAAGTTCGTTCATTACATTATGTACAATCAGAGTCGTGCAAAAGAAGGAAAGGGATAGCCTCACATACCTTTTATATACTTCCCAACCTCAAGCTATGCAAATGTCATGACTCCTTAGTCTACATTAAGAGAAATGACACTATCGTTTTCGTTTAAGCGTCGTAACTATTATGTATCGACCGCAACCTATTTTACGATAAAATGGACAACACCTCCCCTATTTATATGACTTTCCACAAGTTAAAACAATCACCAAAGTGCCCAAACAATATCAATAATAATCATATTGAGCCTCCCAAAATAGTCCACCAACCGACAACATTACTAACAAGCCTTTCGATATATAACTCACAAGTTCTAGCTTCAACGACGTAGCCGCAACTTGGATAATATTAAATACATGTAGAGTAAGAGGTTACTTACCTTTAAACAGATAGAAAAACTCTAATTTGACCTTAATTTCCCACAAAATAACCTTCTAATGCTGCCACAAGAACAAAGAAGCGAAACTAGCCAGCAATTCGGGTTCTTTGGCACTAGAATCACTTTGTAAGACTTGAAATCACCTAGGGTTGATATTAAAAGCCTGAGGGAGTAATTTAAAGAACATAAACCACTTAAAAAACCTCCCACACGCACTGGAACAACACAAAAATCAGCAACAACAAGGAGAACAAGAACTTACTAGCGCCACGGGATTCCCGACACTTGATTTGTGTTGTTTTTCCTTTTGTTTGGGTCTTGGATAATAAGAGAACCTTGAGAGAGTTTTTGTAGGGTTCTAAGGTCTGAATATACTGAAAAAATAATGACTTAAAACCGGGTTGAGGCACCTTATATATATCCATATGTCTTAAACCGCCTATGTGGGCTCCATAGAGAGCTGTTTGGCGCAGTCTCACGAAAATACAAATATCTCTCTACTCCGAGATTGTATCGACAAGCGGTTTGATGAGTTGGAAACAAGACTCATAGATCTTCAATTTGGATAGGTAGATCACCCCATATTTCCAAATAAATTAGGATAAAATCTTAGTAACATTTGACCTAAAGTTTAAGTAAAATTATAAACGTAAGTTGTGACAACTTTTGTCGACTTTTGTTTCATAACTCGTTTGAATTCAAGACTTATGATAGAGATATTATATGATTCAAATATACGACCTCTTGATAGTATTAAGCACCTCTAGTTTTACCCGAAAATACGGGTTACAATATCCTTGATTCGTTTAACTTCTAATACTTGTTAACCACTCTTATACACCCTTGTATCATTTAAGACTAATAGGATTAACTTCTTATCATATCAAAGATAATCTCTTCTCGGATTTACGTCGTCTAATTTATGGCATGAACTAACGTACGTGAATATGGGTTGTAACAGCTACAAGGCATTTAGGAAGCTTCTCTTTTTTCTTTCCTTATCGCACATTCTTTGTTTTATCTTGAAGTTTGAATATTTATTTTTTATTCTCTCAAAGATGGTGAAGACACATGTATCAGTAATGGCTAAGAAGGATGCAGTACCTCAGGCAAGAGACGAAAGAGGCAGGGGTGGGGGAAGGGCTAGAGCTCAAACCAGGGCATGTATAACAGCACCCGCGAGAGATAGAGTAGCCACAGGTACTCGTGCTCATGCTAGAGCTACTTCTGAGGAGCCACCTGCAGCTCCAGCGGTGGATCAGGTTGTCCTACCAATACCAGCTTAGGTTCTCAAGGGTTTTATTGCTACTCTAGTGCTTCAGAAAACCATGTTTTGGATTTTGAGTTTTTTTTAGGGTTTAGCATAGGTAGGGATGATTCCTGCAGTCCCAGCTACTTCTCAGACTAGTGGGTGCAAACAAAGCCCAACTACTCACATTCTAAAGCAGGTTAATGCTATGTTTCAGACTTCGGGAGTTCCAACTATTCCAGCAGTTGGTGTAGTTCAGCCTATTACCGAATTTAGGCTAGAGGTTAGGCCTGCTACGTCTGTGGATGAGCAGAAGAGTATAAATCGGTTCCAAAAGTTAGATCCTTCACATTTTGATAGTGATCTCACAACTGATGCTCAAGACTTCTTGGATAGGTGTCATGAGATTTTGGGCAATTTGGGCCTTGTATAGTTCAATAGAGTTGATTTCACTACTTTTCATTTGAGAGGGCCAACCCAGAGGTGGTGGGAGACTTATAACTATAGTAGTCCAGCAGGGTCATTTCCTCTCACTTGGACCTAATTTTTAACTCTCTTCTAGGAGACGTTTATCCTACTCACTAGGAGGAATGGGTTACGTATCCATTTTGAGCATTTGCCTTAGGAGGGCATATTTGTTACTGAGTATGAGATAAGGTTTAACGAGTTGTCTCGTTATGTAGAATTCTTGATTCCCTCTTAGTAAGAGAAGGTAAGGAGATTCATTGAGGGGATTAATTTTAGAATTAAGTTCGGTATGCCAGAGAGGTTAAGATATTGAATACTTCCCATCAGGTAGTAGAGATAACATAGAGGATTAAGCGCATTTGCAATTAGGGGAGAGATGCAGTGAAGTATAAGAGTCCTCGTCATTCAGGAGGATTTAATGGTGCCTTATCTGGAGGCAAGCGTCATTTTGGTAGAGGTAATTCTAGTAGACCAATTCAGCAACACTTTAGACTTCTCATGATGCTCAAGTCAGTCATGGTTCTCATTGTTCTCTATTCGGGGTAGGCATCTTTCAGTGTGCCTCCAACTCGTAGTTCATACAGAGGTTATTCTTGTAATCAGGGACAGACTCAGTCCTAGCAACCACGCCACTAGAGAGGGTGTTTTGAGTGTGAGATTCGAGGCATATTAGGATGGATTATCCCAAAGTTCAGAGTGGTATATCTCAGAAGTATACTCAGACTATAATTCCAGCCCCAGTTGCCACACCACCTGCCCAGCCAGTTAGAGATAGAGGTCATCCAGTTAGAAATTGTCCTAGAGGAGAAGAACAAACCGGTAAAGATCAGGCTCATTTTTATACTTTTCATGGTATTGGTGGCGTCAGATATGGTGATTAGAGGTATTCTTTCAGTCTATCATAGAGATGATTTAGTATTGTTTGATTCGGGTTCTACATATTTGTACGTGTCATCTTACTTTGCATCGCATTTAGGTATGACTCGCAATTCTATGGATATTTCTATTTATGTGTCTACACCTATTGGAGATTCTACTGTGGTAGATTGAGTTTAATATTGTCACACCTCCTTTTTCCATCCGAGTGGGTATAAGGGAGTTTTTCCAATTTAAGTGACATTATTTGAAATGGGATTATTTATTTAATTTTTTCAGAGTCGCCACTTGGAATAATTTATGGTGTCCCAAGTCACCGGTTTATTTTAAATCCCCAATCGAGGAAAATTTGACTTTATTTAAAAGTCTACAAACCAGAAATTCTAAGTAAGGAATTCTGTTAACCCGGGGAAGGTGTTAGGCATTCCCGTATTTCGTGGTTCTAGCACGGTCGCTTTAACCATTATCAATTCGCCTATTATCTGATTAACTACACATTTTAAACCTATTGTGCATTTTTAACTTTATAACCGCTTTTAATTATTTTAACCTCTTTTTAGAATTTATGGAATTTATTTCTTGAACAAGTTACGATTCTCGTACACTTGCCGTTTTGGAACACACTGTAAACCACGCTACATGAAATGCACCCGCGATTCGCGACATATTTATTTTATTATTGTTCGAAGTTGTTATAATCGGGTTACATGAAATGCATACCCGAATTTTGGAAATTAGGCATCATAACTATGTCACGGGAACCGTACCCATAATCACGATGGTTTATTAATCGCGTCTAAAGTAAAGCTACGATTGTTCATGAATTATTTTCCTAAATTACTTTGAGATTATTTAGAGGCTTTGTAGTGCAGACTGTCTATTTTATTAGTAGCCTTAGATGAGCTAAATGATCTCCTCATCAGATTCAAATTCTAGTTTCTCCCCAACAGATTCCATTTTGAGTACAGCCTACAACTTATAATCTCCTTAATTAATCAATGGAAGATGCTCAAACACGAGCTACAGGGTCAGTACACCAGAAGAAACTGCAATTGGTGTTCGTTTTATTAGTACAATTACAAGATAACAAGAAAAGATCACGTAAAGAGATAATTTCAAACTCGTTTCGATCATTTAACACTATTTCTGGAAAAGAAAGTAACATAAGCAAGCTAATTAAATATTCATAACATATTAAAATTCATGCTACATACATAACAAAGCTGTACAAAATTTCCAAAAAAGATAAAATATGCACCGACAATATAATACACCTTTGTTTAATGTGTATATTGTTCAGCTTGTTTTGATGGGTAAAACCTATTTACATATTAGATAAAAGATAAAAGAAGGTGCATCCCTTTTGGAAGTAGATCATTTCTATAAACCTTTCATTGTTACAATACTTCTTAACACAATAATATTCAACAAAAATATTTGAACCTGCAAAACTGGCAACATTAAAGAAGCAAATATAGAATATTTCTATTAGCCAAACCATCCAATACCATTTCAGTACTAACTCAACTCTCAATCTAATTAATTTCCAATAACAGAATTAACGTGTCAAACTCATCAAAGGATTTAAGGTGAGAGTCAAAGTAAGTCAGCAGTGAAAACATCAACAAGTCGGCTAATGGAATCGTCTGCTTAACTTATTTATCTTATTGATTCCAAAGTAAAAATACACAATCGGGAGGATGAGGAATACCTTGATAGCGATAATAAGGTCATAAACATAGCAAATAAATGCGGAGAACCACCCACGGCTTCAAATTGAAGAAACAACTACGAACAAGCAGTAAATCACCATTGAATCCACTTTGAAAATCTAGAAATACAAGTGAAATTGTAGCTTCAAAACAGCTACAACTCTCAAATTATTTTGAATATAAAATCCACCAAGAATTCTATTGCTTTTCCTTCTCCGTTTCAGAGTTCTTCACATTTGGTTACCGAATCTCAGATTTTTCAAGTTTCAAGCTCTTTTTCTTAGCTGTTTCATATGTACGTGGTCGAGTGTGTGCATTTTTCAGAGAAGTGAGGGATGGTGAGGAGTCAGATGTGAGAATGAAGAAGGAGAGGAGCCTGGGCTTCCGCCATTTTTGTTCAAGAGAAGGGGTCATTTGTTTGAGCCGTTGCCGTTGGTTTTCTAGGCTAAAGATGGGTCGTTTGGGGTGGTCGTTGCTGGGGTATTGAAGAGAAAAGGATGGGGAGGCTGATTTCCGGCGGATCTCAGCGGAAAACGGGCGGCAAATCGGGTTTGTTGTGTTCGCTATCTTAAAAAGTCATTGATGGCTTTGAAGAAGGGTGGCTCCAGGTTGTTTTTTTTGTGAGGGAAACGACGGATTTTTGGTCTAAGGAGTCTAGGGCTTCTAGGTTTAGGTTTTTAATGTGAGGGAAAAATGGGACGGGCACGTGGGTTTGGGGCGAATTTAACTTGTTTTGGGCCTCTTGAACCTTGGCCCAATTCAAAAGTAAGACAACTTTCTTTTTCTCTTTTGTTCTTCTTTCAATCTTTGATCTAAAAAAAACTCTAGTTGAATTAATTAAACAAGCTAAATAAAATCCTAAATTAGGATCTACCTTAAATTATTTTGTAAAGTGAATTTTACTTATTTTTACTAATTTAACACTAATTAATTTAAAACTAAAAGCTAAAATGTGGACATGACTATTGTAGTAATTTTTTTTTGTGATTTTTGTTTAATGAATGCAATTAAATTATGAAATTAAATTTCTAAATGTAAATTAAATCTAAAATGGCATGAAATTAAAACATGACAATTTTTTATGATTTTTCTATGATTTTAAAATATTAAAAATGCATGAAATGTAACTTAATAAAAAAAACTCCTAAATATCAATTAAAATTATTTTTGGTCTATTTTTAGGAGTTATTTTTATGTAGGGTAAAAATTAAGTGCTCATAGTTGCCCCTATTTGCTCGGAAACATGAAGAGTTTTCAGGCAATGATAAAGTGAGCAATTACGAGCAATTTTTCCCATTTAAAACTCCATTTGGAAGCATTTTGAAAAAGTTTGACCGAACCTTGCTTCGGAGGTTGCCTACATATCCTTGGTTATAAAAGAATCAGGTCGGTGTAGTTCTAGAAGTTTTGGTAGCTGGGACTATCGGAAAATCGTGATTTCACTGTTGTTGCTGCTATTTCTACTTGTTGAGCTCCTTATTACACCGAAATAATAGATGAAAAGCTAAACTAGCTAAGCCTATCAACTAACAAGTTACAAGATTCCTATCTATAAACCTTCTACAGCTTGATCTTGAGTCTTGGCTGGTTCTTCCTGCTGACTCTGACCTGAATCTTGATGCTCGCTAGCTGCAACCGTTGGTTCATTCTTCTTCAGCTTTTCGGATCAAGGCAGGACATGCAAAGCTTTGTGACTTCAACCATGTCTTAAGTAATCCGCAAATTTTCTCCGCTTCTACACTTAGAGTTCACTTCTTTTCTTGTTTTTCTTTTCTTTTATTTGGGTTGAGACTTCTTCTTTTAGTCATCTCAAACATTGTGCCTCACGATGAAAACATTTTCAGGCACCAAAACAAATAAACGAACAAAAATTTTCTGCCCCAGTTTTCACTAGGAAAATTTTGTAAGTTATTGTAACAAAATCTAAACTATTTCTTTATCGAAAGCAATTAAAATCGGGATTGTGTATCCTTGAGAAAAAAGATTAGGGAGTAGAGACTCTATATCTAAAATGCAATCAAATGGGGATCAGAGGCCCCAAGTTGGGAAGATTACCAGGTTATGCTGGAAAAATGACCGGGTTATGCTGGAAAAGAAGAAAAAAAAGGTCCTCAGGTTATCCCGTGAAAGTCATCGGGTTATGCCGGAAAAGAAAAAAGATCCTCGGGTTATGCCGGGGAAGGTCATCGGTTTATGACGGAAAAGAAAAAGGTCCTCGGGTTATGCCGGGAAGGTCTATGGGTTATGCCGAGAAAGTCATCGGGTTATGCCGGAAAAGAAAAAGGTCCCCGGGTTATGCCGGAGAAGTCCATGGGTTATGCCGGGGAGGTCAACGGGTTATGTCGGAAAAGAAAAAGGTCCTCGGGTAATGCTGGGGAGGTCCACGGGTTATGCCGGGAAAGTTATCGGGTTATGCCGGAAAAGAAAAAGGTCATCGGGTTATACCGAGGAAGTCCACGGGTTATGCCGGGAAAGGTCATCGGGTTATGCCGGAAAAGAAAAAGGGTCCTCGGGTTATGCCGAAAAAGAAAAAAGGTCCTCGGGTTATGCCGCTAAGGTCCACGGGTTATGCCGGAAAAGAAAAAGGTCCTTGGGTTATGCCAGGGAGGTCCACGGGTTATGCCAGGAAAGGTCATCGGGTAATGCTAGAAAAGAAAAAGGGTCATCAGGTTATGCCGGGGAGGTCCACGGGTTATGCTGGGAAAGTCATCGGGTTATGCCGGAAAAGAAAAAAGGTCCTCGGGTTATGCCGGGGAGGTCCACGGGTTATGCCGGAAAAGTCATCGGGTTATGGCGGAAAAGATAAAAGGTCCTAGGGTTATGCCGGGGATCAACTAGGGAGTGGGACCCTATACTTGAAAAGACTACCAGGTTATGCTGGCAGCGACTAGGGAATGGGACCCTATGTTGGAAAAAACGTAGCTGGATATTGGGGATCCTAGGCTACCATGATTTTGAATTTTTCTTCTTCTTTCTTTCTTCTCATTTTTTTAAATTTTTATTTTATTTTTTTTTTAAGAAAATGGGTAAAAATGCAGGAAAGAATTTGGAGGAGTCTTCCCTTTTGGATTGATTATTGCTGTAAAGCTGCTTCTAGCCCTTGCGCGGTTTCTTTTTGGTTGTGCCTGCTTTTTCAAGGTTGCTTTGGATTGCACCTGTTTCATGTTTTCAAAAAAAGAACAATTGTTAGTTTGAAACGGTGGTTAGTTTTGTGGCCTTGATTGTTTTAATCACTTAATCTCGGCCCATCTTCTTTGATGAAAATCTCAACTGCAACTGCTTGTTCCCTGAGAACCGATTTTACCTCAGGCCCTAGAGAACCTCTGGTTTTTCCATACTTTGCCATGATGGTTGGTCGTAGGAACCTAACCTTTTCGACTTTATTTTGCCTTCGTAGGTCTTTCCCTTTTGACTTCTTTTTCTTTCTTTCCATTTTTTTTCTTTTTTTAACTTCTGAGCATTGGGGGACTTTTGGCTCCTCAAACTTTGTCGCAACGGCTAGTCGCGTGGAACTTAACCTTTTACAATTTTATTTCACCTTCGTAGGCCTTTCATTTCTGACTTCTTTCTTCCAACAGTAGCTTCAGAGCATTTGGGATCCTTTGGCTTTTCAAATTTTTGTCGAGACGGTTAGTCAGGTGAGACTTAACCTTTTCCAACTTCATTTTTGGCTTTGTGGTCATTTGACTTTGATTTCCTTTCTTTATAGGAGTTTCTTTTTATTTCAAAGCATCGGCCATTATGGCCAGTCGAGGTCGACTCGATGCACCTGTCGAGGCTGGGTATCTTCTTGAATATTGGCTCGTATCAAACAAAAGCCTAGTAAATCAATCTTGTCATCCTTTCTTTGTCTTTGTTTCGGAATAGAGTTAGACCGAAAGGGATTCAAAGAAAAACAATAATGAAATGAACAATGAATTTAGACGAGAGGTATCCCTTTCGGGGAGAAGAAAGTAGGACTTATCTGGAGTGCATGTGGACTTCAATGAACATGACATGCCTTTTGAACTGGATTCCTGATCTGTGTAAACCGTCCGACTCTCAAAAATTTATCACAACTTTTGCCTCAAAATCGAGAAACCTTTCCAAGACTCTGTTGATGCCGATGGCTGTGATGATCTTCTTGTCGATAAGTGGCGCCTTTGCGGGTTTTCACTAGCTGACCACTCTCATTTATCTTCTCACCATTGCCTTATAGTGCTCTTTGCGAGTTTTCACTAACAAGACTCTTTCATTTCTAGTTTCGCTGCTTACTGTCGCCTCACAGTGCCCGTGTAGGTTTTCACCAATAAGACTCTCTCATTTTATTTCTCTCATTTTGTTGTATCAGATCCAAGTAGTTGTATCCTCTAATTTTGAACAACTTTTACCAATTGATTGGAAGGACTTGACAGGATTTGGGGTAAAAAGAATTTGGATTGAATTACAACTTTGGAACCTTTCAGGTGAAACCATCACCGAACCATTATAACTTCTGCCCTAGTTTCAACTTTGGGGGGGAATTTGGGTTTTTGTTTTGGTGTAACTGAACCCCAGAGAAAGGCTGTCTACGTATCCTTTCGGAATCAAGTAGAACGTAGTTCAGGGAACATTGTTTTTTATTTTCTTTTCTTTTGCTTTTTCTTCTGTTTTGTTTTCTCTTTCTTTTTTCTTTCCTTTTTTCATTTTTTTTTCATTTCATTTTCTTCGTCTTTTCTTCCGTTATTTTTTTTGTATTTTCTTTTCTTTTCTTCTTTTTTTTCATTTCATTTTTCAATAACACTTTCAGGTTCCAAAGAGGGTAATCGAGGAAGAGTGACCGGCTCAAAGGGTTTGCAAAGGGTTGAATATTTGGATAGTGAGAAAGAAAGTCTTCTTCATCCCAATCGAAGAACATTAATGCTATATAGAGGATCCAACATAGTACCTTTTGACTGCATTTGCATTGACAATTGTTTGAGGGACACTTCTTTCGATGTGTCCCAAGCACAATGCACTCTTTTGGAAGTACTCTTGTTGCAATGTACGGACCTTTCCAATCTGGAACCAAATTGCCTTCAGTTGCTCCAACTCTTTGTTTTATTTTCTTAAGCTTATCTTCATTGTGATCTAATTCTTTATTCATTATTTCGAAGTCTGACAGCGTTTTAGGATCTGGGCATAATGTCCGCAAGCATGTCATGTTATTGAAATCTGCATTTAACAGAACTAAAAAGAGAATAAGAAAACAAAATTAAGAAAAGAAACATTCCTGGACAATGAAATATTAATTTCATTTTATTTTTGATTGTTTTGATTTTTTTTTTCAATTTTTTGAAGATAGGAGGGTTTACATCGGAAAGTAAGACATTAAAGTAAAACATCTAGATCACACCCTAAAATAATCCAGACGCAGAAAGGATAGCAAGACTAGCTACCGAGACTCCCGTCTGATGCGGAACTTTTAGGCTTGGCGACCATTTTTTGGCTTTTCTTCTATCTCGGCAATAGCTGCAATGGCCTTCAGTATCGGATCAAATTCCTCATCTTCACAAATCATTCCGACTATTGGCCCATGTTGTGGGCAGGCAACATATTGTTCATCACATCAAGGGCTTCTTCATCCCGAAAAACTATTCTTTCAGCTTCAATCAAATCTTCAACTGCCCTTTTAAGGGTCCAACAGTCCTATGTACTGTGTCCCACT